CAGATGCTCCTGAATTCCTGATCCACAGAAATCATTAAAGATAACTTATTATCTTTAATGATTATTGTTATTTTAAGCACTAAGTTTTAGGGTGATTTTTATACAATAGATAACTAATATAAGGTATATCTTGGTAACTCAGAGTTAATAACAAAGTGGAATTCCTATCTCAAAAGTAGGTGAAGTTTCTGGAAATGCAAGGCAACAAAAAAATTTAGAAGGTAGGTGTTATTGGAATTATGGCATCTTTTACTGTTGAGAGTGATTTTATTATAGCCCTGTGAAATGGAAAAAGCACTGCATTTGGTGTCAGAAAACCTACATTTAGATTTTAGCTTTGCCAGTTCTACCTGTACCAAATGGGGGAAGCCGCATGAGCTTCTCAGTATTACTATTCTTTTTCTTGCTGAAAATGAAGATGCAGAGCTTTGATATTCAGTTCTTGGCAACCCATTTTTAGAACAACATAGGGAGATTGTATCAGAGGAGAATGGTGAAGGGTCTGCAAGCCATGTCAAATGAAAAATGGATATAGAAACGGGAGAGTTTCACCTAGAAAAGGCCCTTAATTTAATCTCTCACTTAAGATAGTTGAAGAACTTAAACATGGAAGAGGAAATTGGTTGTGTGTATTTTTTGAGGACAAACAGGAAACAATGAGTGATAATGACAAGGATCTAGATTTCATCAGTACAGTGGTTCCCTTTCAAAGAATTATACTTATTAGAAAATATTATTTGAGAGCCCTCAATAGCAAAAATGCCAAGGAAAGAAAGCTCAATTATTTTTTCTGGGTTCAATACAGGGAAACTATAATACACTAACTCTGTAGACCTCCTGGAAAAGGCCAAATTATGTTTTTTAAAATACTTTTTCTTATTTCCTCCAAGCATCTCTTTATAAAATGATTTTTGTTTTTCATTATTACATAAGCAATATGTTCAGTAGTGGTAAATTAGAAAACAGAGATAAGCAAAAAGGGAAATAAAAACTACAAATAAACTCATCACCATTTAGAAATTACTAAAAGTATTTTGGTATGTATATTCCCAGATTACTTTTTTGTATGGACACATTTACTCTTACGCACACGTACAGCAAAATTGAAGTTATGTAATAAATACTACAGTATATATATTTTCCATTTACTATAATAACTTGTAAATAAATTATGTTTAATAATAAATATTTAACTTTAAAATTGGTATTTGTTTTCTGTTTAAAAGTATTACTGATGATAGAACATTTAAAAAGAAGATAAAAACTACCTATTTCCCAACACTTAGAGGACAATTAACATTTTGTTAGATATTCTTTTGTCTTTTGCACACAATTTTTTCTTAAATGTATATTGATAGTTCTCACTAACATTTTTACTAACAATACTTTATGAATATTCCTACCTGTCATTAAATTTTCTGCAAAAATATGATTTTCATTAATTTCAGATTCTTCTACCATATGGATGAAACCATAATGCCCTCAAATAATCCCTACAATTGGACATGAAAGTTGACTCTACTTATTCATCATTATAAGCAAAACTTTAAAGTAGTTAATGTTATATATCTATTATATCAATAAAACTAGAAAAAACATTAAAATAAAATTGCTCAGATTTTTCAGAAGTTGTCATTCAAAACTGTGTTTAATTGATTTCCAGTGAAATGCTCTTTAGATAATCTGAATCAATGTTGTTTTAGTCCTTATACTGGGATTGGGATCCTTTTAAATAATATTATGAAAGTTGGCTTCAGTTAGATTTGGTGGGACCACTGAGGTTAGAGGTTGAGAGAAAACAAATGTAGAATAAATTTTCTTTGGATGAACTAATGCTAACTCAGAGTCCCATGTGCTCTGCTTTTAGTGATGTGCATGTGTTCAGTCATGTTATACAGTGGTTGTTTTCACAAGAAAGATCAAAAGAAGAGAAGTAATCTCCTTTATGTTATTTTAAAAAATCACAACCAGGCATCTTAAAAATTTTCATAATTATATCAACATTATAAAATTAAGGCAAGGCACATTTATTTCATTGCCTTCTTAGGGATCAGTGTTTCTTAAAATGGGGTCATAATTAAAAGACCTGTGTATCAGAATCACTCAAGATGTTCATCAAACTTCATATTCCTGGGCCACACCCTTCAGGGTACGGGAGAGGTGAGAGAATCTGAAGTTTAGTGGACTTGCCAGGGAATTCTACACATTGGAGCTTGAGAACCACTGCTTTAGGGAAATATTGTCTTGAATCTATCCATAGCTGTGCTGCAGTGACATGCTTTGAGATTTGAATAGATATTATCATTGGGCATCTTGCCTCAATTGGTATTTCATCGGACCTGTTTTGTTTTAGGAAATTACAGAATAGTTGAGCTATTTTTTTCTTAAGAAAACTTACTTCAAAACTATGTAGCCCCCTAGAAAAAGCCTGAGAGATCCTTTCTTAAGTTTCTTTTTCTAATTTGACATATATTGCTTTTATCCAACATGAATCTCTTCATTGTAAGTGTTTGAATTTGTGTGCACCTTTACTCAGATGAATTGCCTATAGGCCTCCATTCATGAAAGGCTAATATTTCTTAAGCTTTAGCAAGTTAAAAAGTGAGGGCCAGGAACAAGAAATTTTTCCCCTTTCCATTGTTCCTAAGGATGGTATAAGATGACTTAATATGATTTAGGCCATTTATGATTTCATCCACTTCCTATATTGGTGCCTTGGTAACTGACATATTGCAAGTAAATCTTGTAGCTTTCTTGGAGATATTATAACTTTTTAGCTTTTTGCTCTCTGCTTCTTGGTAACATTGAGCCACTTTGCACAGATGATGGTGCTGAAGACAGGATGGATCAACAGTATGGGAACTCATGGTTATTGTCTGTACTGTAGGCTGGCAGGGACCACATTCCTATGAATAGTCTATTTCACAAGTAAGTGATGTGAGTGAATATGACTGAGATTAGTCTGAGAGAAGAAATGGGACTGTATGGAGCCTAAATACTCTAGGGACAACTTGAAGTTGTTAGGCTGGAAAGCCGCTCCTAGCATCTTTCAATTTCAATTTGGGAGTGATGGGAAAATCCTGTTTGTTATAGTCAATGGTGAGTCATTTGTAGGTAACCATTTCCACATACATGTTGTTTTTGACTAGGTCTTTAATTCCTTAGGTTGAGTCAGAGTTAGTTTTTGTTCTTGATTTATGGGCTATAATACTATAATACTTTGCATTTGAAATGGAAGTGACTGAAGCATGATTGGTCAAATGGTGATTATTGGTTTTAAAAATCCTAGGTCAGGTTTCTGATAAGGACACTATTAAGAAGTCAAAATGGCTTTGGTAAACATATTTCACACAAATGTCACAAGCATCTGCTCTGTGCTAGGCATTGTGCTAGCAATGGTAATAGGGAGAAGATTAAGATTTGGCTCACAATATTTTTTAGTAACTTTTCTGAGGTACAAGTACCAACAATTTACCCATTTAGTATATACAATTTAATGGTTTTGGTATATTCATAGACTTCACAATATTCAGTGTAGTTTAAGATTGATAGCACTTTTTACCAAACAATTCCTTAGGTCCAGAGGGGAAAAAATGGTTCCTTGGTTCCATTCCTAGATCTGCTCCTTTCTTCAAAATAATAGTACCTACCATCTATTGAACACCATCTCCCATGAGCTCAGCATTGTGCCTAGTTGCTTTACAAATGCTGTCTCATTATATGCTCTGAATAACCCTGAAAATAAGTTTTATTCCTATGTTACATATGCTGACAATAATACTTAAATACTTAATCTAACATTTATTGAGTATAATTATCTCATTTAATATATCTGGAAACTTAATTCTCTAGATGCCATTTTCCTTTTTTCCTCCTTTTTCCACTTGATATTAATTCTATAACTTTTGCTTCATGCTTCTTCCTCTTGTTCTTGTAGCTTGCTTGGACTTCTTTGTGGAGAGAGGTTATAGAAGCAATAGATTTTCAAGTTTCTGATAAAAATCACAAAGGCTAGATGTTTTATTTTTTTGCACAATTTTTTATTTGTGTGAGAGAATAGTCATGCACAGTCAGATAACGTGATGACAGATAAGGCAAGACTACTGATGGACTATGGCTAAACAATAGTTGCTTGCAACCTTCAGTTCTGATTTAGAGAGATTTAAAAACATTTTCTTTCTATAAACTTTAGGTGTTTATTTTTCAATCCAAGATTTTCATTTTCTCCTTGAAGGTGGTTCTAAGCCTCTTACAAGTTAGCTAACTTCTCTGTATGTGAAATAATTCTTGCACAAACGTTTGTATAACAGACTTGTCCTTTTGTAAAAAAAAAAAAAAAATCAAACATAAAGATTTTTAAGTGCTGCATGAAAGGTGTGTATGTGGTGAGTTATCAGTGGTAAGGATAAAGAACAGAAAGAGGTTTCTGTAACTTTTAACAGAAACCAATTTTCCCCAAACCCCAGGATACAAAGATACTCAGGTTGGCTAACTTTCTGGCACTGATCTAGATATTTTATATATTTTCTGGTGAACAATTAACATTGGATATTGAAGCTAATTTCTTTATTGGTTCTAAATTTAAGGATAATGTTTCTGGGATACACATATTTTTTAGGCTGTGGGAAGAATATTACTAATAAAAGTGTCAGTTGAAAGAAAAACTTTACCAATCCTGGTAATTAATAATTGAATCTGAACCATTTTAAATGAAGGGTGTAAATGAATAAAAATTCAAAGTATTCATTTAAAAATTTAAGTTTCGGAACCACTTAGGATGCTTTCTAATTTAAAAAAAACCAGTTTGAATCTGCAGTTTTCTGGTTAGTTCCTTTGAAAATTATTTATTGAATATTTACCTTTTTTTAAGCAGAGATTATTAGCACAATTTATTTGTCCATCTAAGCATCATACACTATTATGCTGAGTTTGGGATTTTTCTCCAACAATATGCAAAGAAACAAAAGTTCTAATGGTTTTATTTTGTTTTGTTTTTCTAGGAGTCAGAGAATAATAAGTTATGTTCCCTATATTCCTTCCGAAATACCTCTACCTCACCACATAAGCCTGACGAAGGGAGTCGGGACCGCGAGATAATGACCAGTGTTACTTTTGGAACCCCAGAACGCCGCAAAGGGAGCCTTGCTGATGTGGTGGACACACTGAAGCAGAAGAAGCTTGAGGAAATGACTCGCACTGAACAAGAGGGTATGTGTGGATTTAGTGTTGGTCTTTGTTCCTTCAAAGATTCCAAGCCTTAAAAAGAAAAGTGAGTGGGATTTCAAGGGCCAGAGAAGTGCTTTATTGGCACCAGCTAGTGAAAGTTATTCAGAGGTTACCATAGCGATAGCACATTGTGATCCATTAGGAGTGGTAAGCAGATATCTCCATTTTTCAAAAACTGTGCATTTTATTTGGCTTTATGATAACAAATCAAGGTTTTAAACTGACTGCAATCTTTGCCCTGTAAAAAGGTAGTATGGGAGTTTTCCCAGTTGCAGCTTTTTCATTTTTCTTTCTTACTTCCTTGTGATGAGTAGTGTTTTATTATGAAGATAACAACTGTTTAAAAAACAAACAAAACAACTAATTTATTTCTCCTCATTTTTACAGATATTATGCATTTATAAATATTATTATTTTACCTTCAAATGTTGTAGAATTGAGTTGAGAGTTTCTAATATTGTTAAAGTTAAATGTTCAGTGGGTAGAGCTTTGACATCTACTGCAACATTCCACTTCCACCTTACTTATTCTTTTCATAAAGTCCACTTAGATTCACGTAGTCCTAAAAAACAGGTAAAGAAGACTCCCTAATAATATTTTTAAATTAAATAAATCAAGTCAAAGTGATTGCTATAGTTTTATTTTTTACATATAGATTTTAGACTTAAAAATGTAGGGTAATTATTCTGGGTTTACTACTGACATTATGAGTTAAAGTCAGGTCTCTGTGGTACTATAGGGAAATGTGGATTTGATATAAGGAAATTTTTTACGTAACTTAATTCCTGTAAAGGCTCATAAACTTATGTTTATGTTTCAAACTAATGTTTGTGAAAGCTCCAAATTAGTTTTTGTGAATGTGTCCATCATATCAATAATTTTTTGTGGAAGTTTCTAAAATGTATTACATACTTCCCTGTCTTACTAACCAGATTGCATGGTAAAAAATGTAAATTTTTTTGATGACTCAGTGTCATGATGCAGTAGACTATGAATTCTTATGCCTGTCTAATGACTGTGTGACCCTGGGGAAGTTCTTCAGTCTCCCTTAGCCACAAAATTTAAAATTTTGCATGTTACTACTACCTGACTCGGTAACCCAAACATTTTTGAGAATTAACTATAATAGTGAATATAATAGTCTATTCTGAACAGTAAACTACATATATTTGAGGTATTGTGATGATCATATTATAAATCTCAATAATTTTACCATGCTTAAATGTGATGATTCCCCTAGAGATTGTCAAGATTATTAGGACTGTTTGGTGTTATGTTTATTTCTCTGCAATTACAAAACTTTGAGATTCTTGGGTCTGCTTGAGAGAGGGATCTTTTTTGGTGTGTGTGTGGGTGGATTGGTTGCTCCTTCAATATCAGGTTGAAGGCTCTTACTTCTTAGTTGTGAATAATTTCTAATCTGTTTCTTCCATTCATTGATCAATTATGAAATAATATGATCATAACATTCTTTACCATATTTAAAATATGGACAGATATGTCTGGGTGAGTTGCTGAGATGTTCTGTGTAATATGTATGATTTTTAGTTCATGGGCTTCATGTTGACTCTTCTGGCTGCTCAGAGACTTGATTTTCCTTATTCTTGGCTATGTTCTAGGAACACCTGAGGTTGCCAAATCAGTGATCTCTGAATAAGTGAGATTGCTAGAGTACTTTTAATTTTGATTCACCAAAAAAAAAAATGGTTTTAGTTTTATAAGAAAGTGGTTTTCAAAATACTTCAGAGGGCTCTTTAGTGTAAAAATTAAAAAAATAGATTTGTGATGATTTTTTTTTTGTTCTGGACTGTTAGGGAATTTTAACTTATTTTTATCTCACAAGTGATGGTTAGTTTTCTATTCTTCCTGTTCATGACTGTGTGTTACAAATTTGATGCAAGAGAAGCACTTATAAGATGAGATTTCTAAGAGTCCTTTATTGCTATATTCCTATTTTTAAGGAATGTTTTTTATGTACTTAGAAAACTTTGATTGTTTTTTTAAAGTACATATATTTTGGGCATCAGAAAGTCAGGCATTTTTAGGTACATTAATGTACATAATATATTAAGTACAAATATGAAGTGATGAAAACATTCTCATCAAACTCACAGATTCCACAAGTCTGGGAGGGACAGTGAATATAATGTATGAAAGAAACAAAGCTCGAAACGTTTTGACAAACTGAAAATATGAACTTAAAACTAACCTGTCAAGATAAAATTTAGGTCTTACTGTCAAGTCCAGAGGTTGTGACTGAAACTCCTAGGTGCACAAGCAATTACTGAAGGAGATTCAAATAGCAGACACATGAATTTTAAAAAGCTATGAATTCAGGTGATAGAAAGCACAGTGAGGTCAGCATGGTGAATATTGCCAAAAAATTGCCAGTGCCATCTCATTCAGCATTAGTAGAATTACAGTATGTAGCATTCAAGAGGTGGTAATCCCTTAAACTTCCTGCTCAATAGAATGCATCTGAAGTATTGCGTTGAGTTGAGAATTTTAAGAGGGACTCAAAAACAGTGGGATATTCCCAGAGGATAACAATAGACATAACAGACACACAATTATATCAGAGGAATGGTTGAAAGAAGTCATAGTATTAACTGCAGAGAAAAGAAGATCAAGAATGACATAACTGCTGTCTTTAAAGATTAAAATAATGTGGAGGATGGATTGGGTTTATTCTGCCTAGCTCCCTGGGGATAGAATTATCAGGGAACCAGATTATTGTTTATAACAAGAGCTACTATCTAACAGTTGTAGCTGTCCATGTATGGAATAATTTCTTTGGAAGATAACAAATTGTCTGTGGAATTATGTAGTAATCTTATTGCCATTTTTAATAGGGCTATTGTAGAGGACAGATGATTGGTCTTTTTCCAGTGCCAAGACTCTATGAATTTTTATGAACAGTATGCTAGTATAATATTCTACAGTTCATAGATATATTTTTTATAGCCTTAATTAAGAACTATGTAGTATTCTGAATATTTTTCTACAACTTCTCTTCTTATTTTCAAGGTGTTATATTAGAATTGGGGATTCTTACTTGCTTACTTTTTGTTTTCCAGTGGATTTATTTTTTTAATGCATAAAGTAAAACCCATGGAATTAACCAAGAAAATGGATTATGTTAAAATATTAAATAATTTTAAGATTTTGTGATATTGTAGAAAGTGCTACTTCACCAATCATTAAATAACAAGATCTAATGTAGACTAATAATGTAATTTTGAAGTACTGATAAGCATATAAGATATTTTGAGATATCTTCAACAAATACAACACAATATAAAAGTATATTGTGATTCTATTGTTTATAATGTCATAGGCGATATGAATGTTTTATGGGTTTTGCCTGCACCCATAATGATGGAAACGCACATTTTCAATTAGAGGTTAGTGAAAAAGAATTTTCTCCATACAAGTTCACAGACCCCATGAAGAAGAACTCTTGGGGGTCTGTAAACCCTAGGTCAATAATCCCTATGCTATGTGATAGAAAAACAAGAAGGCCATTGCTGCCAAGTGCTATCCATTCACCCATAGTGAATGAAATAACAGTTTCTAACTTTGATGAGTTCATATTCTAGTAAGAGGTATAAGACATATACAACATTAACTCCAGTTCAATGTCTAGTATAGATAATTTCCATGAGAGCTATATAGATAAAAGTGTTACAGGGGTTTAGAAGATAGATTGTGCCTGCCTAGAAAGCCATGGAAAGATTCTATAGGGAAGTAGGTCTTAACTGGTCATGGAAAATGAAAGGATTTATGTAGGCAGAAATGGAGGGGAGGGACATTTCAGGCAGAAGGAATAGGTAGAGATCTTTAAAACAGCCAACAGTTCAGGTTCTTATTTACAGTGTGTGAAGATGCATGTGGGATATAAAACTGAAAAGGTAGATTGTGTCCATTTCACCGAGGCCCTTTAGTTCTTGGCTAAGGGGTTTGAACTTTATATTGAAGGTTATGGAGGAACCACTGACTGCTTTTTTCACACAATAAAGTGATGGATTAAAGCTTTCCTTCAGGAAAGTTAATCTGGCCGCACTATGTGGGATGTATGGGAGCATGGAGAGACATTAAGGAAATTGTTTCAGGCTTCAGATAATGAGGGCATGAACTAAGGCAACATAAACGAGAAAGGAAGAAGGGGTACATATGGAAAAGATATTAGGAGATAGAATTGTTAGGACTTGACATTTAAGTGAGGAGACTGAGAGAGAGGAATGGTTCTACAGTAGCTCCAGAATTTTTAAAGTTTGGGTGAGTAGGAGGGTGGTAACACAATTGATTAAAAAGAAGCAGAGGAACATGTTTTGGAGATGGGAGGAATGAAGATTTCTATTTTTTATTTTGGGTTTGATTCCTAATTTTAATTATGTTTGGAGTAATAGTATGGAACAGTATAGTGGGAGAACATTAATAATTATAGGAAAAGGTCAGTAAAAACTTTCTGATATATTTCTGATTCTATAATAATTATATTTTAAGTCTAAGGAGGTTTAAGAGCTCCACCAGTATTTTCCTGCCTGTGACCCTTTAAAGCCCCAAGTCCATCTCCTCTTCTGGGACATCTCTTATCCCATGGGATGTATAAGAGCTTTCAAATGCTCTCTCTCTCACCAATACCTCTTGGTTTGAAGAGCATACCTCATGAGTGACAAGCTTGTGTGATTAACATAATAAATGGCCTTTCCTGAGTCGTTTTGTCCTGGAGAGTGTTTTGACTCTGTCAGACTGCATACATTCTCCCTCACTTCCCCTCAAATGCAGAAACTGACTTCTAAAAAGTGTATTTGTTATGGTCTATTTTCAAACAATATTTACATAATAAAACAAAACAAAAACTCTCCACACAGTAATAGGGAAGTTATTCTCTTCCAGTCAGATTCTTTCATCAACTAAATAATTGTCCAGTGTTTTATCTGCCATTCCCTCAAGAAATGCCATCTCCAGAGCAGTGATTT